ATCGAATCCGAAGACGGAATCGCGATGATGGCGAGGGGCGGCCAAGAGTAGACGATAGTACCAGTCAAGTACAGTCGCAGAGCAGGAGTTGGGATGGGGGAGAGAATTCGCGACCGACGGACGGGGGCGGGCAGACCAGACCAGCAGCAGGAAAGCGGGCGACCAAGTTGAGTTGAGCTAGCTGAGCGAGAGTACGAATGAACGAACGAACGAGAAGAGAGTCAGCGAGTGGAGAGTGGACCTCGACTCTCAAAAGGACCAGGCCAGGCTTTTGGGGCTTTCGATCGGGTCCTTTTGAGGCTTGTCAGAGCCAATCAGCACTGTATAATCGACACAGTACGGCCGTGCCGTGGTGCCGTCTTCCAACCTGGAGAGGTAGGGGAACGGACGGAGAGTGCCAGAAGCGGGTGATGAAGCCGCCGTAGGGAGATGCCGCACAGCGAACGAACACCCGGGGCCGGTGAGGGACGGCCGTGGCAGATTGAGGGAGGGCTGTGAGAGGAGCCCGAGCCAGAGAGGAAGGAAGGGGATGCTGAGACAAAAGGCCTGAAAAGTCGAGTGCCAAGAAGAACCAAGGGACAGGATATGTCGAGCCAAGAGCCGGAGCCAAGCAAAATCCAAGCGCCAACGAGCGATTGACTGGTGAGGGCTGAAGGACAAGAATGGAGCGAAGAGGAAGGGGAGACGCGCAAGTCAAATATTAGATAAGGATGTCTCCGTGAGCTAACGTAGTAGCAAGGGGGAGGGGAGGGCGGCAAGAATTGAGTTGAAGGCGACGATGGCTTCAAGCGCTGTGAAAGACACGGGAGATGAGGACTCTAAATGGACGGGGCGAGTAATAGGCCAAGGTCCTTCAATCCGAACAACGGAGTCCGTCCGAGTAGGCAAGTCGATTGATTGATCCCAAGCAACCACTAAAATTAGAGAAAGGAACATATGCCCCAAACCTGAAGGGACACCTTGTTCGCGATGATGCTCAAGGCCGGGAATAATGGAAGATGGCGCTGGATACACGGCATCTGGAGAAATGGGGGGGACTTGACGGGAGGCTTCGAGTGGAGGGTGGATGGGGGTGATTGTGGAGGGAGCTCGGTGTTTTGCAACTCGCACTGTGCCCTGACCGAGCGATTTCCACGCTGCTGCAGGTGGGATCGGCCCTGGGGGACAACCTTTAGGGGGGCGAGCCCAGATGCAGGAGGACTTTGGCCAGTGCAGAGTCCAGCCCAGCACTGCGCTGCGCTGAGCAGCGCCATGGAACGTGTCAATTGATCTAAGCCAACTCTCTATGCTAACTTTTTTCTATTTTCTAAACAAAGACGTTCAGCTCATGTTGAGTTTACACCGGTAAGCCCTTGTGCTCGACACTCAGTGTCCCAAATAACGCGTCGGTGGCTGGCGGCTGGGGTTCCGTTCCTCTTCAACGCTCTCTCTGTATGTCTCTTTTGACATGGCAAATGAGAGCGCGTATCATTCATTACCACCTACCTGCACAGGCGGAAAAACGGCTATGACGGGATGGTAACCTCGAAAGAAAAGAGCAAGGCCTCTCCACTAGTCAGGGCATGCGAGTGGAACGGGAGCAGAGACGACCACCCATGATCCCAAGCCGCGCGGCCACAAAATAAACTCGCAGTCTCAGGGCGCCCCCCGTTTGAGCGAGGACCTCTCCATCCACCGGACGGTGGCCGGCCAGGCGGGCTCATAGCTCAAGACAATTAGAGCCTGCTGCGCGTCGGCCGCTGTGCGTCTAGCCTAGCCCAGCATGAGACGGCCGGCAGCAATGTACCGCAGCGGATACAGATACTGCCAGCACTGCATAAGTGAGCTGCGGCTAGTTTGCTGGTGGGCTCTGAAGCCGCGAGACGCGAGGGTTGTGATAGCGACAAGGGGGTAAGGCGGCATGGATCCAATCCATGGCCAAACGGAGGTTTATGGGGACCCATGGACGAATGAGCAAACCAGCAAAGGCTCTGGACCACCATCGTCAGCGAGATCCCCCATCCACTTCGATGAGACTGCATCTGCAGGCCTCTATCTGGATGCCAACACGAGACGGGAGTGGTTGAGCAGAGCGGACCGTAACGGAGACTGCCAGGATTTGTGGAGAGAAGTCGTGTTCCCGTCTTATCTGCGGTGGTGGAAAGAATAGCTGCCGAAATAAAGCCTACATCGTACGAGAGATTCACGGCTTGGGCATCAGAAACCTTTTTGTCAAGTGTTACAATTCTGACTTGGTTCGTGGTGGCAGTGTAAGACGAATTTGAGGGTTCTCCAAGGCCAGTTTCCGTTCACTCACAGACAATACCAGTCGTGAAAGAAAACGATGGCATCCCGAATATCAAACGTCAGGAAAGCCAAGTCTTCGTAGTAACATATCACTGGTTCATCTAGGTCCGGACAGGCCGGTGTCACCTACGCGAATCTCCCAACAGTCAGAAACGGGCCCAACTCTGTTCATACCTTATCCTACAACCTTCTGAGTAGTGGCCCGTGTGTGAGCAGCGAGCCCTCGAATTGTGTGGAATAAGGTGAGACAGAAACCCAAGACCGTACTGTGGCCGACTCTTTGACACACCCCGTTTCTCACTGGTACGGCGGCCCCGAAGAAGCCACACGGATGGCATGTTCTGCATCATGACGTACGGGCACAACCAGTCACTTTCTTGACGGACAAGTAGCCAAACAGCAAAGTTAGAACGAGACTGCAGGCCCTTCTTGCGCTGGTTCCCGACGAGCCTCAGCCCTAGGGTCGAATGTTGAGCAAGCTTAATCTGGAAGCAACCATGTCGTCGGCTCCGGGAGACACGGAAGATGGCGGCCGCCCAGTGCCTGGCTGACACGGCACTGTGGGTCGTTTTTTTTTCGCCGGGGCCTTTTGGGAAGGTGGGCGCCACACGAGGAAGCAGGGGGAGCCACGAAATGCCACAAATCCTGGTCTCGACGTGCCATACCGCATTTCCAGACTCAAGAAAGCCTCGTAATTAACTAACAGTACGGCCGAGTAAAGAATAGACTCAAAACGGCGTCCCACTCTACAATCGCGGCGTATCTTGTCTGTCAAAGATATGCGCGTCCTCTATTCTCGGTGACTATTTTCAGCAGAACGAGAGCCTCTTCCATGACATCATCCCTCCCTCTCCTTTTACCTGCCCTCTCACATTCCGGCTCTCGCCCGGGTTTGCTCCGGGCACGGGGTTTCAGCTGGGTCGCCAAGCCATTCCGCCCTCCACAGGACGAACCTCAACAGGCAAGGCTCTCTCTCACCTTGTTCGCTTCTTCGGCCCCGACTTTCGAGTCGCGAGATCAACCCATTGGCTGAAAAGGTGCCCGGTGGTTCTTTTTCACGTCAGACCCATGCGCAACCGTCGTCCTTTTTTCTGGGTCGGCATGGGCTCTCTCTTCGGCCGATAAGGGCGGAGCAGGCCGGACGAGAAAGGCGAACGAGTTTGTGCAGAAGAACCGCGCTGAGACGAGGTCTTGGCTTTGGTCTTGGCACTAAAGCTTTGTTTCAACCTCTTCCACGATGCTTCTTGGAAGGGCAGATGGAACCACGAGTGCCGGCTCGTTCAGCCTTATGACTTACACCTCTTGTACTCTAAATATTTCACCAAGACTTTAAAATATTAACTCTCGAGTAAACCGACGCTGTCGTCTCTCGTCCAGAGTCGAGTGACGCCGCTGATCGTTTCCCAGACAGGCGAATCCTCCCTGTCCATATTTACACGCGCCATTTTCTTTTTCGCGTCGTGAGGTGCTCCCATCATGCCACCCCTGCTTACGACGCATCTTCACAATAGCGTCCAGCTAATGCCATTCTGCTTCTACGATGTCCTCAACATGGACATTCTCGCTTACGCAAGACACGAAAAGCAATGCACCGGGAAGCCGGCACATCCCCAACGACGTCATGCTTGGCGCAATAAGACTTTGGGGGTTGATTCTGGGGATTAAGGGTCCTCGAGTTTGTGGCGATATCGCTAGGACGATGGCTGCATCAAGTGCCGGACATGTCTTTGTGGCATGGCTCGTTCGTCTGATGCACGATGGTGGATAACCTCGCGCCCATCTGCAACGTTGTCTCTCCTCCCCTGCTTCTAGAAGACCACGGGAATAACTTCAAGCCTCAATCATCCCAGCTAGTCGCCTGGCTTTCTTTTGGACAAAGGTGAGATGACGACAGAGGCGGCGCATTGATGCCAGCAACGGCGCGAAATCCACCACTCGTAGGATGCCAAAGATGACTCCGAGTCGAGTTTGGGGGAAGCCGAGATTCCTGTGCCCCCGAACGAATGGCATGTTCTCGTGGCTGATATCGCAAGCGCTTCTTGCATAACAACAAATGGCGGAGTGCAACGCTCTAGAGCCAATATCATGACGTCTAATCGCCAACGTTGTGAATCCCAGGCTCGATGTGCCGTCTTGGCAAGACCACAGTGTAAGTGTTTATCGAGTAAGACGGTGAAGTCGGCCGCCCTATCTGCTTTACGGCGCAGCAGCCTGCCGCTTCGGGACCGACATTTGGCTCCGCAAACCGGCATCGGAGCTGTGAAGACGGAGAAGAGAAGCGGTCGACGAAAGGCGGTATTTCGCAGCTGTTATTCACAGTCCTCTGGTCCAATTCGAAGGTTCATGTTGAGCGAGATAATCATTATCGACTGCGGAGAAATATTCACAGAATCACTATTCCAGGCTTCACTGATGAATCATGTATAAAAATTTGAGTTTGACAGATGATGAGCCGTAATTGAAGGACCATTCTCAGACATTTTTGCCAAGCAATCTTGACTCACCTTGTCTTGTGCTCACCTCTTCACCTTGGTCTCACCGAGATCCCCCACCTCACGTAATTCCCCAGCTCCTCCACCCCCACCGCAGCCTAGCATCGCAAGGCCACCAACACGTGCGACCCTCCAAACGTCAAGCTCCAGAGCTCTCTGATCTTCACATTCCTAGCCCTCGGATGAGCTCGAGGGTCTTGACTGCCGACACTCACATTCGCCATGTCGACGTCAAACTCTCTGCTGGGTTTCTTTACCCTGATGAGTAACCAGGGTGGTACCATCGTTAGAGGTTCGTTCAGCCACCGCCAGCAGGTGCTCTTCACGTCATGAGCTTCGTGAATCTGCCGTTCTTTGAGCACAATGCTGACTCGACTCCCTCCAGAGCAACCCAAGCTTGACCTCGATCTTTACATCCAGAACTACTCCGGTACGTTGCAGTAACCTCGTCGATTTCCTTCCACCCGGCTAATAGCTCCCGTGCCCAGGCCGAACGAGGTTCGATCGTCTCCTCCACATCGCAAAGTCCTCGGTACCGCTATGTGTCGACGCCCTCAAGGCCGCTATCGCTGAGGCCAAGTCTGGCACAGATGTAACCCAGTATAATGATGCCTGGGACTGCATCCGCTTCGCAGCTCCCGGGGAGCCAGAAGCTCAGAAAGACCAGGCTTGGGTCGATAAGACCGATCGCGCGAACAGAGCCGAAACCGCACGCCTCGAAGCCGAACTTAAGCAATACCGTCATAACTTGATCAAGGAAAGCATTCGGGTGTGTTTCTTCCACTAGTGTAAAACACGGAATCAGGCAGTGCTAAGATGCGTAGATGGGTAACGAGGAGCTTGGAGTGCATTTTGAGAAGACAGGATGTCTTAGCGATGCAGCCGAGGCGTACAACCGCATGCGTCAGGATGTAACGACAACCAAGCACATCATCGACTGCGGCCTCCATCTTGTCAACATCTATCTCTATCGCCGAGATTGGACCATGGTCATCAACAGTCTCGGCAAAGTCACCGGAGTCCAGAGTGGTGAGGAAGAGAAGTTCTACCAGCCCTTCACCAAGCTCGTATCCGGTATTGCCCTCCTTGGGTTGAAGCATTACTCGGACGCAGCCAAGAACTTCCTCCAGATTGACTTCGATATCCCTCCCACCCAGTACAACCACATCGCCAGTCCCAATGATATCGCTATATACGGAGGTCTACTGGCATTGGCCACCATGGAGAGAAAGGAACTCCAGGCTCGCGTCCTAGACAACCCATCGTTCCGATCATTCCTTGAGCACGAGCCTCATATCCGAAAAGCTATCAGCCTCTTCGTGAATGGTAGATACTCAGCCTGCTTGTCGATTCTAGAGTCGTTCCGGAATGACTACATGCTGGATATCTACCTGCAACGACATGTCGCGGCAATCTACACGCAGATTCGAAGCAAGTGCATCACTCAGTACTTTGTTCCCTTCTCTTGTGCTACTCTGGACAACTTGAACCAGGCTTTTGCGTCAGACGGGGAGTCCATTGAGAATGAGCTCGTATCAATGATCCGAGATGGAACGCTCAGGGCCCGACTGGACGCAAAGAACAAGGTAACACTACTCCATACTTGCAACATGACGACTGTTTACTGATACTTGCCCAGCTGCTCATCGCGGTCCAGCCTGACCCCCGACTCCAGATGCAGCAGAGTGCTATTGAGGTCGCCCGCCAGTACGAGCTCGAGGCCAAAGAGAGACTCCGCCGCATCAGCATAATCTCGGCTGGGCTGGAGGTCGTGGGTAAGAGGCAGCCGCCTCTTCTCGGTCGAGGAGTCGAGGAAACTTGGTATGACGAATCTAAAGCATCTGAGCAAGGCGCCGCTGCTGAAGCATAGGGGATCATCGTCGGCCGCTCTGGAATGTTTTAGAAGAAGCTCAGCAGATTATGCTTTTCAAGACCAAGCTTGATGGAACAACACAAAATTTGAGAGACGAAATTGCACCTTTGCGATCCGGGCGTTTAGGTATCCGGTCACCACGAAATCACACATCAATAGGTGCATAGGTAGCCCTATTAGAGTTAGATCAGGCGTACAGGGGCATGCGTTGAAATGGGATCACTGGCAATTGCTTTGTAGTTATTTGGTATTCACTTCTTCCGCATCGTTGCGGGGGTATCATATATAAAATGCATCCAGTCTTCCATCTCCTATCTTGCTTCCAGCTTTTCTCTCAGCCCATCAACTGCCTCAGATCCGTAGGCGGCCACCGTACTTGTGCAAAGGTGAGGCACCGCTTTATACTCTGTAGATACTTGCGCGTGACCTCGTCGCCCATGACATGTCCCTTCTCACCGTCGTGCAGCTTCTCTCGAGCACTTCGCTCGTGGATACCAACCATGGTAACACCAATAGGCCAGGCTGCCTTTCCAATACTCAGACGAAGGTATCCGTCGTTGGCATCCACGTATCGTCGCTCTTGAAGAGCCTGGACGATCTCGATGACAGGCTTCAGGATGTCATCATCGAGCTCTCCTTGCTCAAACTTGCGAAACAGCTGCATAACGTTAGTCTCAAGATCCAAGCATCAATAAGGCAGTCAGACATACCGGCTTCATATTCTCACGAGTCTGCACCATGGCATTGTATGCCGTCTTGCTGGCGCTCGTATCCCGCTTTTCAGACTCCATTGCCCGCTCATATTCTGTCAGAACCATGGTGAAGTAACTCGCCAGTTGTCGGAAGAGCCACTGGCGACCTTCCTTGTCCTGCGGTACCGTCCCGTCGACCTTCATATCCTTCTCCTCCACTAGCTGTAGGGTTGTCGGTATCGGCCCCTTTGTCACCACCGTCGTCAACTTGCGATATCTTCTGACCCTTGCAGTATGGCTCTCTCCAAATAGCACTGCCGGCTCGCCAAGCGCTCTCAGCTTCTCGACAAGCTCCTCTTCCGGCACATCCTCACTGCCCTGGAGACCATCCTCAGCATCCTCGCTCTTGGCCTTCACCAACTCCGGCAGGCCGAGGCGCTTCCGCCTCGCGCGCTCCTCCTCGGCCTCTTGTTCTTCACGTCTCCGGCGTGACTCCTCGGCGAGTTTGCGGCGCTTCTCTTCGCGGGCGGCGTTCTCGGCGGCAACCTCCTCCTCGCGCTTGCGCTTCGCGGCGACTTTGGCTTCACGCTCGGCTTCGAGGGCCTTCTGCTCGGCGAGATATGCTTCTTTTCGTTGGGCTTCGACTTCTGAGCGTTTGAGGTACTTCTTGTCGCCACTGCTGCCGCTGCTCTTGGACTTGGAGAGCTCCTTGTTCATCAACGCCGCGAAGTCCATGGTAATATAGGAGATGTGTAGCTGATGTGGGTTGGTTTGACGTGGATATGGCGTTGAATATGATTGATAGTCTGGTTTTTGTAGGTCTCACCGTTAGAGGTCTACAATTCGAATGGTTCCAACAGTTGTCGCAAAGTTGAAGTTAATGGATCTCGAAGTTTCCTGGTCGCGACATGGTTATCGATTGCGGTTATACCCCGGCTGAATATGGGCCGACTCATCAGGACGTGATGGCATTTCAACCCTCTCGTCTTTTACAACTATCGATATACAAGAGATCTCTGGATAATTTAATTTCACTTTGGGGGAGATATTCACGTCTTACCGATCAGGCCTTCAGATATGGCGTCTCCGCCGCAAAAATCGCTTCGCGAGGACACGACCCCGTTTCTCTTACAGCTCTTCTATCGAACTGGAGCACTTCACAGGTATTGAAGGCCCACCAACTGCTGCTCTCAAGATCGAATACTCACCAACAACTATCAAAGGCCTGATGAATTCGCGTCGCATACACAACCGGCGCACATTTCTGTATACACATGGCCGGACTGCACTCTTCATGAGCTGGCTCTTGAACTAGCAGCTGCCAAACCATCCGCCTTCCCCTCCCCCGCCGTTGGAACTCGTCTTGTATTCCAACTCGTCTTTCCAGATCTGCGCAACACCAGTCAAATCGCGAATTCGCCTCCCCGGTTTGGTGTTAAGGACCTCGGCAGCATTGTGATAGGTGAGCGAGGGCCAGATACAGAATCAACAGAAGATGTCGATATGGACGCCCCGTTGAGAGGGCCAAAGGACGTGGAGAAGACACTCAGCGACGCGCGATTCGTGGTGGGCGATTACATCTCGTGCGCTATTCTACCACCTTTTTCAGATGGGTCAGTGGCTCCGGCATCGAGCGTTCGAAGGGAGACAGGTCCAGGCCCGCGTGAAGGTCGAGGTGGTTCGCGAGGAGGGTTTCGGGATCGTGAGAATGGCTTTGGTCGTGGCGGATCTCGGGGAGGGCGAGGCGGTTGGAGAGAAGATATCGGGGGTGGATTCCCAATGGGCGATTGGAGGAGAGGCGAGACGCTGCCAGATGGCCCCGGTGGGAGATCGAGAGGTAGAGGAAGGTGGTAGTAGAGTGAGGACCATGCTGTTGTTAGGTTGGCGGCGTCATGCGTTATACCCAATTGCCGTTTGACAATTCATTCCGAAATTTCACGTCATTCGAAACTTGTAAATGCCGTCGTCTTGACCTCTTCGTTCCATTGAATTCCTACCATGGGTTCTATCCCAAGCTGGACGCTTTATATGTACAATTCCCACATCTCCGGCATCAAGTGAACTTATTTCTCGTAGACGAGGTCGCCCTTTCGCTTCGCTCGGAAATCCCAAAGTCCCTTGTGTTGTCAGTGATTCGCCCCGTGGACCGTATTCCTCGGCAAAACTCACGTCGGTCTTGTAGGCAATGTAGCCCATGATGGCGGGAATCACACCGACGTAGATGAAGGTGATCTTGGCGGTTCGGGGAGTCCATCGGAAGTAGTGGTGACGGGTCTTCATCATAGCTATTCCATCCTGTTAGAAAGGCTCGGGGGAGGGCGGTTGTCGTCGAAGCCGGGGAGAAGTCACGCACCCTGATACTTCAGGTAAGCCGGGTCCGGCTTGACGTCTGTCGGACGGTGGTTAGCGATGGACAGCAATTCGGCCTGTCGGGGAGCCTACTAAGGTGCGCCATTTTGATTGACGGCAGCGGGTGTCTTGCTGGTGCGGTTCGGGGGCGAATTGGCCGTCGTGGTGGTCAAACTGGAGGTCGTTTACCTTGGGACGACGATGCTCGGAAGTTGAAGGTTCGAGGCTTAGGTAACGCAATTCCAGTAGTCGCCATTGGCTGGAGCTGAGCATCACAGCCGGGCGCGATTCACAGAAGTGGGTAAGTACCCTGTAGCAACCAGATGTGAACTTGGAGACAATATGTCCGTGATGTTTGGAGAGCACGTGTTGTGCCAATACATTGTCTTTCGAATTAAAAATGATGTATTATTGATTGTATTTCAATTTTTTGCCTGTTCATTACGAGTGTTGTGTTCATGTATTCCCATGTGTTGAATCACATTCTCATTGTGTTCCTATTATCATCCAGCTCAAGACTGAACTACTTGTCACTGAGACGTTAGTAGACTTCGTATAATCCAGCACATATGAACCAGCCAAACGATGTCTACGACGGGGTATGTAGCACAGGTGCATAGAGGAATAAGACATAGAAGCAGTGATTCAATTCAGGAGAAGATACCGTAAGTAGGCCAGCAATTAATACCCATTGAGGGTGATCGAGTTCAAGCCTCAAGCACAAGTATGCCCCACAAATGGTGCCCAGGCATACACTACGGGAGCTCGTATGAAGCCTTGCTGAGGCCATTGCGACATGATTTATGGCACTTGAAGGTTAATTGATGCCCATTGTTTGCGTTATTGAACCTTTAGTGTAAGCTTCGGATCTGTTAGTGCTGTGTATTTCTGTTAAGCCGTTCTGAAGACCCTCTCAGGCCCTTATCAAATCCTTTGACCTCTGCGCTACTAGGCAAAAGTAATTTTCACAAGTTGTAGAAATAAGAGGTACACTTTGCGCGATAACTGCTAGCACAGCTGTTTGCCCAGGAGTTTATGTCAACCAAGTTCGGTGTCAAATCTTTCATGCCTGAGTAGCGCTCATTTGCCTTCATGCATGACCCACGTGACCGGACCCACCTTACCTAGCGCGTCGCCCCTGCGACCAGAACTTGAATTTGTCGCGACGGAGGCGACCATACACCAAGAACTTCACTTCATCTCCGCCTTGGTTGTCGCTGCGCGCGCATCGCGGAATCATCATGTCGCAGCATCCCCCGCCACCGCCCCCCGGCTGGGGACCTCCTCCCCCTCCTCCGCCGTCGTCCTCACTACCTCCTCCCCCATCGACGCCGGCACCTCCTCCGCCAGGCTATCGTCCTCCGACTGATCCCCAGATCGCCAAGTTCGCCCAGAAGAAAAAGGAATGGGTTCGAAATCAGCGCAATCGATTTGGCGAGAAGCGGAAGGGCGGGTTTGTGCAGACACAGAAGGCGGACATGCCACCGGAGCACTTGCGCAAGATCGTGAAGGATATCGGTGATGTTTCGCAAAAGAAGTACACGAACGACAAGCGAAGCTACTTGGGAGCTCTCAAGTTCATGCCTCATGCGGTCCTGAAGCTCCTCGAGAACATGCCCATGCCATGGGAGTCGGCGCGTGAAGTCAAGGTTCTATACCACGTCAACGGTTGCCTGACCCTTGTCAACGAGATTCCTCGAGTCATCGAACCCGTCTTCTTTGCGCAGTGGGCAATGATGTGGACATTTATGCGAAAGGAAAAGGCCGATCGACGACTGTTCAAGCGCATGCGATTCCCGCCGTTCGACGATGAAGAACCTCCCCTGTCGTGGTCTGAGAACCTGGAGGATGTCGAGCCCCTGGAGCCTATCCAGATGGAACTCGATGAGGATGATGATGCGGCAGTCTACGAATGGTTCTACGATCACCGACCTCTCCTGGACACGCCCCATGTCAACGGACCCAGTTACAAGTCCTGGAACCTCACATTACCCCAGATGGCCACACTATTCCGTCTCAGTCGGCCTCTTGTTTCGGATGTGGTGGATAAAAACTACTTCTACCTCTTCGACCTGAAGAGTCTATTAACAGCCAAGGCCCTCAACGTCGCTCTGCCCGGTGGCCCTCGATTCGAGCCCCTATACAAGGATATCGACCCTAATGATGAGGACTTTGGCGAATTCAACGCCATCGACCGTATCATCTTCCGAAACCCCATTCGAACCGAGTTCCGAGTGGCTTACCCCTTCCTTTATAACTCTCTCCCGAGAAGTGTGCACCTGTCATGGCACTCTCACCCCCAGGTTGTGTTCAACAGAGCCGATGACCCCGACCTGCCGACCTTCCACTTCGATCGCCGGATCAACCCCATCTCTTCACGAACTGTTGCGTCAAAGAACGTCGAGGTTTCGCTGGAGGATGAGCTTTTTGGACCCGGAAACATCGAGGAGCCGGAGGAAGATGCTTTCCAGCTCCCTGCCGGCATGGAGCCATTCCTTGCTGACGAAGACCTTGAAAATGAGGACACATCGTCAGCGGTTGAGCTATGGTGGGCGCCATATCCCTTCGATCGACGTTCGGGTAACATGGTGCGGGCACAAGACGTGCCTCTGGTTAAGCAGTGGTATCTCGAGCACCCTCCATCTGACCGACCCCCAGTCAAGGTCCGAGTTTCGTACCAGAAGCTCCTCAAGAACTTTGTTCTCAACGAGCTTCACAAGAAGACCCCCAAGGCGCAGAACAAACAGAACTTGCTGCGATCTCTCAAGCAAACCAAGTTCTTCCAGCAGACAACAATTGACTGGGTTGAGGCTGGTCTGCAGGTCTGCCGTCAGGGTTTCAACATGCTCAACCTTCTCATCCACCGCAAGAATCTGACATACCTCCATCTTGATTACAACTTCAACTTGAAGCCCGTCAAGACCTTGACAACCAAGGAGCGAAAGAAGTCTCGTTTCGGAAACGCATTCCATCTGATGCGTGAGATTTTGAGGTTGACAAAGCTGATTGTGGATGCTCAAGTGCAATACAGACTTGGAAACATCGATGCTTTCCAGCTCGCTGATGGTATTCTGTACGCCTTCAACCACGTCGGTCAGCTTACCGGTATGTACCGATACAAGTACAAGTTGATGCACCAAATTCGAACTTGCAAGGATCTGAAGCATCTCATCTACTACCGTTTCAACTCCGGACCGGTTGGCAAGGGTCCTGGTTGTGGTTTCTGGGCTCCCGCCTGGAGAGTCTGGCTCTTCTTCATGCGAGGTATAATTCCCCTTCTCGAACGATGGCTGGGCAACCTCCTGTCTCGTCAGTTCGAGGGTCGACACAGCAAGGGAGTGGCCAAGACTGTCACGAAGCAGCGTGTTGAGTCTCATTTCGATTTAGAACTCCGCGCGTCTGTGATGGCTGATCTCATGGACATGATGCCTGAGGGTATCAAGCAGAACAAGGTCAACACCGTCCTCCAGCACTTGTCTGAGGCGTGGCGATGCTGGAAGAGCAACATCCCCTGGAAGGTGCCTGGTTTGCCTGCGCCCATCGAGAACATCATCCTTCGTTATGTCAAGTCAAAGGCAGATTGGTGGATCTCGGTTGCTCACTACAACCGTGAGCGTATCCGAAGAGGCGCCACTGTCGACAAGACGGTGGCGAAGAAGAACGTTGGCCGCTTGACACGTCTTTGGCTCAAGGCTGAGCAAGAACGACAGCACAACCACATGAAGGACGGTCCTTATGTCTCGTCTGAGGAGGCTGTTGCCATTTACACCACTACTGTCCACTGGCTCGAGTCGCGCAAGTTCTCTCCCATCCCCTTCCCCAGTGTTTCCTACAAGCACGACACCAAGATTTTGATTCTTGCTCTCGAGCGTCTGAGGGAAGCGTACTCGGTAAAGGGCCGCCTCAACCAGAGTCAACGAGAAGAGTTGGCGTTGATTGAGCAAGCCTACGACAGCCCTGGCACAACCCTGGAGCGTATCAAGCGGTTCTTGCTTACTCAGCGAGCCTTCAAGGAGGTCAACATCGACATGAACGACAACTACAGCACCATTAACCCCGTTTATGACATTGAGCCCATCGAGAAGATCAGCGACGCTTATCTGGATCAGTACCTTTGGTACCAGGCGGACCAGCGTCACCTCTTCCCAGCATGGATCAAACCTTCGGACTCCGAGGTTCCCCCCTTGTTGGTTTACAAGTGGGCTCAAGGTATCAACAACCTGGGTGGTGTCTGGCAGTCTGAAAACGGCGAGTGCAACGTCATGATCGAGACGGAGCTTTCCAAGGTGTACGAGAAGATGGAGCTTACACTGCTCAACTCTCTGTTGAGGCTGATCATGGACCACAACTTGGCCGACTACATCACAGCCAAGAACAACGTTCAGCTTACGTACAAGGACATGAACCATGTCAACAGCTACGGTATGATTCGTGGTCTGCAGTTCTCTGCATTCGTGTTCCAGTACTATGGCCTTGTCTTGGATCTTCTCCTGCTCGGACCTCAGCGAGCCAGCGAGATTGCTGGACCTCCCCAGAGCCCCAACGACTTCTTGCAGTTCCGTGACCGCGAGACAGAAACCAGCCACCCAATCCGCCTTTATACTCGATACATCGACAAGGTCTGGATCTTCCTCCGATTTACTGCCGAAGAGTCCCGAGACCTCATCCAGCGGTTCCTCACTGAGCAGCCTGATCCCAACTTCGAGAACGTTATTGGCTACAAGAGCAAGAAGTGCTGGCCCCGAGACTCTCGTATGCGTTTGATGCGTCACGATGTGAACCTCGGTCGAGCTGTCTTCTGGGATATGAAGAACCGTCTGCCTCGATCTGTGACAACGATTGAGTGGGATGACAGCTTCGTGAGCGTTTACAGTCGTGACAACCCTAACCTGCTGTTTTCTATGTGCGGCTTTGAGGTCCGCATTCTGCCAAAGATTCGGAACCAGAACGATGAGTTCCCGGTCAAGGACAGTGTCTGGTCTCTCGTCGACAATACCACCAAGGAGAGAACAGCGCACGCCTTCTTGCAGGTCACTGAGGAGGATATTCAAAAGTTCAACAACCGTATCCGACAAATTCTCATGTCCTCGGGTTCCACCACTTTCACCAAGATTGCCAACAAGTGGAACACTGCCCTGATCGCACTCTTCACCT